AGAAGGAGCAGACCCCCAAAGGCCCAGGTAATAGATTATGAATCCACAGGCCAGGAGACAAAGTGGCTGCTTGACACACATACAGTGAGGTAGTGGTAGAACTGGTACTCAGGTCTAGGGCGTGAATTTCCTATGGACCGGGCTTCTTTGCTGCCATTGCAGGATTCTCTGAAGGATTGACTAGTCCAGAACCTGCAATGGGCACACCAAGCTTTGGGTTTGGAGACGAAAGTGGTTCCCTATGAGGCTGCTGCTGAAGGATCCATGTGGTTCTAGGAAGAGAATTGATCTTGACTAGGGTCTTGCTTACAACGAGAAAGATAGCAGGGATACAAGCATGCATTTTTATTTTATTTTATTTTATTCCATTCACGGAGTGCTTTTGTGTTGTTTGGGGAAAATGTTGTTCTGATGCTTCTGGTCTTTGCCAAACTGAGACCAGACCATTTGTTAGTTCTGCTTACTAGGTGAGCAGCTGCAGATGGCAAACAAATTTGAACCTTCTTTGTCCATGAAAAGTTAAAACCAAATTCCATCTTTGAGGCAAAGTTCCTTTGTTCGGTAAACATGAAGATTTGTTTATACTTTCTTTGTTCTTTCTGGAAACACACTGCTTGGGCCAGCTACTATACTAATTTCAAGATGTCCCACTCACATCATTTTTGTTTTTAGACAGATATTATATAGAGATATGTATGTATATAAAACAGGTGAGATACCTGGCCTTCAGGGGAAAATCCTGAATACCAACCAGAACCATGACTAATGCTTTGACCCACTAGCCAGGCAATCCTAGCTAGAAGTAGAAAAAGAGCACAGCCCAGTGAGTGTATGTGTGTTCAGGGCCTGCCTGCCTTAGGATAGGGAGAAACGCCAGCTCCCTACCCCACTCCCAGTAGGGCTCAAGCTACCAAAAAAGCCTGGTGGAGTGGAACAAGGGAGGACTGGGAGCCTTAAAGATAATGAGTTAGACCTCAAGGCTTTGGGTGAGTCACTTAACCTCCCGGATTTTAGGCTTTCACATTGCGAAACAGTGATAACAACTCTACTCTCTTGCAGGGTTTCACGCAGGTAAATATTAAAACAAAGCCCTGGCATATGGTAGGATTTCAAAATCAGCTTACATTGCCACTGCACTGAGCAGCTACCTCAATTGGACTTTGTTTAGATGCTTGACAGCTCGAGGATTGATGTCCATTAGAGATGGAAGCTTTGGGCAATTTACGATGTGACCACAGGGCAAGTCAGCTGATCTCTGAGATGCAATTTCCTCATCTGTAACTGGGGATCATGGTAATTATATGCTTGTCCTACTTCCCTGGAGACAGACTGAGAAAACATTTTGTAGCCTGAAAAGCATTATGCAGAAGTTATTCTTATAAAAATAATGGGAACAACATTAACATTTTTTGAGTGCTTATATTTTGCCAAACACTGGTTTAAGTGCTTCATAGGGATTGCCCAGTTTAATTTTAATCCTCTAACAGTTTTGGCAGATGGAATCCTGTTTATTATTTTTATTTTTTAGTTGGCTAAACTGAGGTACAGAGAGTTTAAGTAACTCACCCAAGGTTACATGGGCAGGAATACCTGGGATTCAAAGTCAGTCAAGTTCCAGAACTGGTGCAGCGGAGTATTAGTCACTATGCCTATATTGGAATTGTTATGCGATTGCTATTCCTAAATTTCTATTTGTTTTTTTAATTTTGCCAGAGGGCATGTATGCTCACCAGAGAGAGACAGAGAGAAAGACAGAAAGAAAGACAGAGAGGGAGAATGAAAAAGCACTCCTATGGGAAATGGTTGCACCATAATTCCTTGTCCTCCATCTCTCCCTCCCTTCAGGATTTTGGGCATTTACATATATGCACCCAGTGTGTTTTTCTTTTCTTTTCTCTTTTTTTAAAGAATTATTTATTTAATTTTATGTATTCATTCATTTATTTTCATTTGACCAGAGAGACAGAGAGAGAGAGAGAGATACACATACATACATACACACACACACACACACACACACACACACACACACACAGATTGGGAAAGTGAGAAAGCAAGCCACCAGGTCTGGGACTTGAACCGTCATTGGATATGTGGGAGCATCCAGTGCCCTAGCCACCATACCACCTGCTGGTCCCCTACCCAGTGTGTTTTCAAGCCACTGGGTGCAGGACTCAAACCAAGCTGTCAGCCATGTGGAATCCAGCAGCCTTAACCACCACACCACTGGCTGGACCTCTAAGTTTCTTTCAATAGAGGTGTACATGGTTTTCTATTCTCAAGTTATGAGATGGGGCTATAAAGTCATAACAGCAGTTCTGTAAAGCCATCTAATTAGTCTCCCTACTTTCTGGCATAACTCAAACATCTTAGAAACACATGTGCTTATAACATGAGCAAACCTATTCACAGACTGAGCATATGTATGTATAGTTTATAGAAACATGCTCAAAGATAAAGATCAGAATATAAATAAATGTAAGGAAGCAAGGCATTAGCAAAATCACTTAGGAGCTCATGATTCTGTTGTGAGGGGTAATTATTCATTGGCTTAAGCAAGATGGAAAGTGTCACCAGGGTAACTCAGTGAGTGATGGTCATGCTTAATCTCTTTTCTACTGCACACATGTGATAAGTGTCATTCACACTTGTGGCACACTCTTACGAGACTACTCAGACTTAACAATACCCCTCTCCAATTTTTTTGTGAACAATTACAGCAAATAATGTTTTATTCTGCTCCTATGAGCTCATTTTACAAGCATTCAAAGTTACCCAGTTAAATCGTTCAAAATAGATGATTTTTCAGTCACATTCCATTAAATTCAACAAACTTACCACGTGCTATCTGTGCTCGTACAGGAGCCACAAGCCACATGTGATGGTTAAATTTAAAAATTCATTTCCTCAGTTGCTGTAGCATTGTTCCATGAGCTCAGTGAGCCGGATAAGGCTAGTGGTTACCAATCAGTCATGGCTATTTTCATTATCTCACCAAGTTCTGTTGGCTAATGCTACTGGACAGGGGCATAAACCAAGGGTGCAGGGAGGGCCCACATCCCATGCCAGTCCTTACAGGGCTTAAAGCCCCACCATGAACATGGCTACTAAATGAACCTCAGGCTTAGGGTGAAGGAAGGATAGAGGTTAATGTGAGGATACATTAGGAGATGTACCCAAAAATAGGTGATCAAGGAAAATGAAACCAAAGAAAACTGCATATTCATGAATAACAACAATTTTTTAATATTGAACTTAATTTTTTAAATGGACTATTTTTTTCTGTAACCGAATTCCATAAATATTAATATGGTTTAAGCACGATTTATTGAATAATATTTTAAATAAAATATTTATTAAAATGTATAATGCATGGTTTCAGCAGGTGACATAATGGTTACATCACTGGATTCCCACATAGTCAATTATGGTTCAAGTCCCAGGCCCAGAGGCTTAAAACTCACACTGACTGTGTATGTGTGTATGTCCAAAATCCCAAGAGGAGAAGGAAGGTGAAGAGATTGCGGTGTGGTCACCCCTGCCCCTGGGGGGTGATTTCTCACTTTCTGTCTCTCTGGTGAGCACATGTGCCATATAGCAAAAAATCTCTTTCTAAAAAGAACTATATGTGTGTGTGTGTGTGTGTGTGTGTGTGTGTGTGTGTGTATATGTATATATGTATATATATGTGTGTGTGTGTATATATATATATATATATATATATGTGTGTGTGTATATATATATATATATATATATACTCTATATGTATATTGCAATAAATCTCAAAGAAAGCCAAATGCAAACTGTACATACATTATGATTGTATTTCTATGAGATTCTACAATAGGCAAAATTAATCTATGATCATAGAAATCAAAACAGTAGTTTCTTGGGAGCAGGGGGTAGAAAGTGGCTGGTAACAGGGACCGGCTACAAAGGATTTTAGGGTACTTTCTGAAGTGGCAATGGTGTTGCATTAACCAGGGACATTGACTACATAGGTGCATGCCTTTGTGAATATACACGTGGCACTGTAATGTAACTAAGATCTGGGCATAGCACAGACTGTACATTGTATCCCAACTTAATTGTCAGTGGCCTGACGTTCATGATCCTTGCATCACTAACAGGACAGTTTAGGCACCCTTCTTGATCTTATGCTGGGTAGATATAAATGTGTTGTTCCTCCATTTCCAGTTTTTGACATTTTCTTTCTTACAAAAAGGAGACATGCTGAAAGGACATTTGCCAGAATATTAAGAATGGTGTTACTGGGACCAGCAGATTCGTAATGGTTATGTCACTGGACTCCCATATACTGGACCATGGTTTGAGTCCTGGACCCGGCAGTTTAAAACTCACACCAGGTGCATGTGTGTGCATGCCCAAGGTCCTGAGAGGAGGATGGAGAAGGGATTGCAATGTGGCCATTTCTCCAGTGGGTGATTTCTTGCTTCCTGTCTCTCTGGTGAGCACACACGTCCTATAGCAAACGTCTCTCTTAAAAAAAAAAAGAAAAAAAAAAAAAGAACAGTGTTATTTTGTATTTTGGACTGGGAAGACTTGAGGTGAAGTTTACTTTTTTTTTTTCATTTTCACCTTATTGTTGGAATTTGTAACAAAGAGCAAGTGTTTGTTTTATAATCTGAAGCATAAAAACTCACATCTCTTTGCTTGGTAAGTACATCTATCCATAGTGCTGTGTAATTACTTGAAGACATTGCCTTTTATACTCTGATTAGTAGCAAATTTCCTTCTAAGCAGTGGGCTCTGTGGGTGATTAGTTGGTGATATGGGGTCTTGGTAAACATTATCATTTCCTTCCTTGTCTCTCTCCACATGTCTGGGGTTCTAGGGGCACACTAGAGTAAATGTGGGTGGCTTCGAGGTGCTCTCCAGCCATCTGTCCTTCTCAC